ATGTGTCTGCCCTTGGACTTTCCCATCGTTCCGAGAGGAGAATTCTTCATGGTGACCTTCATTTCCATCCTTACAAGAAGACAATTGTTCAGAAACTTTCTGAACGTGACTTCAATTATCGGATGGACGCGTGTGAGTGTCTTCTCGAAGTCGTTCCTGAGAACAATATTGTTTTTTTAGTGATGAAAACCATTTTCGTTCATGTGGATCCTCGAGAATTGCTTCTAAAGCCTTTGCATTCTCCTAAAGTGCGGTGTGCAATTTCCGAAGTTAGAATTGTTGGTCCCTGGTTCTTTGAGGAAAATGAAATCGTAGGTACAGTGAATTCAGACTGACTTGTAAACATGTAACGGCACACACTTCAAGAGCATCGAGCGAACACTTCCCAGAGCGCTGCATCTCAATTAGGGGCGATTCAGAGTGGCCGGCCCGCTCTTCCTATTTGGCCCCTTGTGATTTTTTCTATGGGGTTTTTTTAAACCCCGTGTTTATGTGAACTGTACAAGGGCCCTAAAACATTTGAACACCTACATCTAGGAAGAAATTGATAACATAAATGCCAGAAATCGGTTTGCCCAGTGTATGGGGGATGGGGAACGTCACCCATCTGATTTGATCTTCAAAACTACGTAAAACAAATTGCTGGCCATATGCTTTCATTATAAAAAAGAAATAAAATTGTTATGATTTATACTATGATTAAGTTTTGTAAAGGACATAAATATAACCCTGATATTTTCGAACGCCGTGGAACGCGTGTCGAGCAAAAACAGAAAAACATACTTTGAGGCAAACGAGCTGTGTCCTAAAACGTATAAATCGCAAAGTAATATGATAAACACAACCGACATAGCTTACAATAATAGAAATTTCCCAACAATCAGAAACCAGAATACACCTTCTACCTCCGGAACAAGTCAAATAAATATAGCACAAAGAAGAACATTTGAATTCGCGAATACAATAAAAACAAAAAGAACCTTTCAACAAGCACTATCACAAACACCAAAAAAAAGAATAGTTGAACATAACACCGGATACAATAGAGAAAGTCACAATGAGAACTGTAGCCGAACAAGTCATCAATTTCTAAATTCGTTGAAATAATTCGTCATGCCGCCTACCCTTGTAAAGATTCGTCGCATCCATAAAATAGAAATAAACATAAAAACTAAGGTCAGAACAAACACTCGCATCTGCAAACCACCCAGTGAACGCCAAGGGAAACAAAATTCATATTACGAAGAAAATAGATAATAGAACCGGATGCTATAAAGTTGGGCTTTTCAAATATGCCGGGACAAAAACAGGGTTTTGAGATCTATTCTGCAATAACATTTGATTGCTATAACTATAAAGTTACAACCAAAGGAGTGCCGAGAAATCTGAATCTCAACCATTTGGTTAGCAGATGTTAGAAACTACCCCGAGCGCTGAACGGTCACGCGTCAGAGGCGTATCATGGGATATTTAAGACTTCCGAAGGCTAGCATATTACTAAAAATTGTCAAAATTGTGGGAAAATATGAAAAAGAGGAGACAAACAGCTAGGTTTTTAGTAGAATTTTCCCCTAGCTGATAGGAGCAGGTGCGCCAGGCTGGATACGATTCTACATTCTGTTAACGTACGCGTTAACAGATGCGGTTTGGAAATTATCATTAGAGAGGAGCAGGTGAAACTAACGAAAGACTGCGTAGTTCCAATGAAGCTAATTTTGTTAAAAATATATAAAAAAATTCCAGAAGAGAGTCACCGTTAGTTTTACCTAAATGCTATGTATAATTTTATAATTAATTAAGAGGACATCTCGAATTGTGGCCTCAGCATTACAGGAATTCCCAATCCATTGAAATTATTGAAAACTGCAGGGTTTGCCCCAAAGCAATTAAAGCCTCAAGACGCCACTGTTTCGTAAACTTAAGGGAAGACTGTACGCTGACGACACTCCTTGAGGTGGGACAAGGTAACGTAATTAACCAATAGAGTTTAAGGTCATTTTGAGTTCAAAAATTAAGTCTAACAATCATTACTCAGGTTAGTTTCCATCTTTAGAGAATCAGACGCCCATTGCAAGGGTTGTAAACTGATCGACCAATGAGGAGACAAGGGCTGAACTCACTAAGTCAAAATGACCAGCCATCTGATGAAGGGGAAAATCCGCAACTGATCTCCGATAATTTTGAAACTTAAAACTTCAGTTCTTCTCTTATCTTTGATTTGTACGGTTCAAAAAGTTGCTTCGATTTTCCCTCAGTTAGTGGCTGTTAATAAGTGTTGCATTGGTAGAATTTGTGTCAAGTTGTGTTCTCATCAGTAAGCACTTCCAGTTACTTAAAAGGAGTTTTCCCTTCTTTATTAGCCCTTCTGGTTAAAGCACACCGAGTCAACTAAGGATTCTGGGTACTAGCTCGATCAATTAGCATTGTAAAGTTGAGATTCTAGAGTTTAATTTTGATATTAGGTTCAAACTTAAATTTATTGTAATTTAGTTGTCACCGTTCCTTTTAACTTAGTCGTAATTCACTCCTCCAGTGATCTTTTCCCCAGCCTATTAGTTTTACGAAGTTAACTGTTCTTTAACGGTTTTGAGTCTGTAATTCAATTATTAATAAAAATGAGTCTCCTTTAACTTGAGTTCCTATAATTTCATTAACTGAAGCTAACTGAGTTCGAGGGTTCCGAAAGTATCCATTCGGGCGATTACCACATTCTCTGATTACTTGGAGAACAGAGGAAGCATCATTCCGCGTAAAGTGAGTGTTTCAATGAGTCAAGATTATATTACTTTATGTCAGGTTCTACGCGAGTCTACCTCCTATAGGAAGACAAGTAAAAGGTAACAGAATTTGAAATTCGAGGGGTCTAGGACCAGTCCAGAAATTGAAGTATTGGACTGGAGATCCGAACTATATATTCAAGACACGACATTGAGAGGTCCGGGAGTCTCGGACGAAGATCCTGTTACATAAAAATGGCGCAGTCCGGTTCAGATGAGTAACCGCATAACAAAATGACTACTATCAATAACCAGTAAATCATTGAGTTATACAGAAACAATTAAAGTAAATATTAAATCAAACAATAAAAGTAAAAGTTAGCTCATGCGGAGAATCTGACAAATATACAGGGTGTCCGCAAAGTTGGGGTTTTCCTTTTCAGAAACAACTACCCTTAAAATAACAAAGGTAATGTGTAGTGAAACGAGGGCGACCAAGTAAAAAAAAATAAAGGAAAAAGTACTCACTCTCCAGTTGACGAGAAGGGCTAAGTACGTCTCTGCCCGAAATCATACCGCTCCAACAGAAAATGAAATCAGCTGATGCGCTACCGAGCAGACGCCGGCGGTGGTGCAGACCACGAACAGAGGTAACAAATATGACCATCATGCAGAAACCACATTGATTGTCTTACACTTAATGGCACATCTAACAAGGAAGGCAAAATGTTGCGTAAAAAGTCTAGGTATTGCATCCCGTCCAATCGATTTGGGAGAATAAATGGTCCAATGAGCATACCGTTCACCATGCCAGCCCAAACATTCACCGAAAATGTTTGTTGAAAATGTGCCCGACGGACAGCGTGCAGATTTTTCTACTGACCAAACATGAGTGTTGCGAAAGTTATTCACCCCATTACGCGTGAACGTAGATTCGTCTGTCACCAATATGCACTTCAAAAACTCCGGATTATTGTCATGTTGATGCAACAACCACTCACAAAACCGCACTCTTGCTGAAAAATTGTCAGGTTGAAGGGCTTGTACACGTTGGACGTGAAACGGATACAGCCCCTCTTCACGCAGCGTTTGCCACACTTTAGTTTTTGATACTTGCACTTCTCTAGCCACGTCTCTAGTGCTTGTTGTTTTTTGAAACGCAATCGATTATACGGGTTCGTTTACCTCTACACGCGTGACCGTAACCGTCGGTTGAAGGTTGCATACTGACCTGACACACTGACCCCGACCCAGTTCTGTCGTCGGGTTGAGCTAGTGTCCTAGTACCAGTCGGGGATGTCGCGAGTCGCGGCTACAGGACGGTATTCAGATATTTTTGATGTTGCATAGCCCTTTATCTCGGTTCCCTTAAGACATTGGTGTATATGGTACTAAGAAAAATTGCTTATGTTTTCAAGATCTACACGTCGGGTAAAGGAAAACCCCAACTTTGCGGACACCCTGTATATTGGGAGATATAAAATATTAAGACGATGAGATTTATAGTTTACTGCTCAGTGTACTGTCTACATAGTTTAAAAAGTCAAAATAGATACATGGAATTGATTTTGAACTAATGGTCTATCACATAAAAGAAATGTTGGATTTAGCACAGCAAATCGATAAAGAAAATTAACGCTAGAATTGAAGTTGTAATGGAGTTATAGTCGAGTTATAAATCTTGCAGTTCAGAAAACATTAGATATGAACATCCAGAAATTCACAGAATACGGAACAAGCTATAATCCAAGTGTCAGGAAATATCTAGATAAGGAATTACTTTAACTAATTACGATTAGTTTTTCGGCTAGTATTTAATTTCAGAAAAAATTGGGCAAGAATTATTTTTTCGTTAGAATTAGAATAATACTCATTCTGTCCACAGCTTTAATTAATTATTTTCAGGAAAGTTAGTTAAGAAATCGTTTCAGGAACAATTAATATCAATTTTGCCCACAGCTTTAATTAATTATTTTCAGGAAATTTAGTTAAGAAATCGTTTCAGGAACAAGTTAATATCAATTTTGTTCACAGCTTTAACCACTGTTTTATTTCAGCGTGAATTTAGAAATAAGATATTTTTCTTGCAGCTATAATAAGTGATTTAAGGGTTAGTTATTTGTTTTAACTAAATAATTTTTCCACAGCATATTTCGAAAGTCGTTTTATTTCTTTTAGCTATCGACAAGGATAATTATTGGTCATTGAAATAGTTGTTATCCATATAAGATAAAGAATGCACACGTCGTATGGTAAAAAAATAACAGACTTTATTGCAGGAACGCAGAGTGGTTACAAGTATTGAACAAAATGTGTCTGTACCTCGATATAATTCTAATCTTTATAGGAAAAATAACAGAGCTGTATCGAAAAAAAAGGAGTAAAAAGCAAATATTTCTTAATGGGCTTGCTTGCCATACAATTCAATTTGATGGAATAATGGGCTTGTACCACATAGTTATGTAACCAACAGGATTCCATAACTCCTCCCTCCTACGAAAAGTTGGTCTCCAACTTAGAGAAAATTTAATTTACAATTACAATATGGTTCCAAAGCTGTAAGAGTCGCATTGTTTCAAAATCTAACAGATGATCTTTATGGTATAAAGTTTGCAAATGTTCAATGAGGATATTTATTTCCCTATGATTTAATGAAAGAATGTATAGGACGCTCAAATGATTAATTTGAATTTAAATTTATTTGATGTGCGATTTGCTCGAAGAATTTCATTTGAAAAGCCATATTTTGTGTAACAGAAACTATGCTTTCTTGGATATTGATAGTATTGTGCTCAAAAGTGCCTTGCAAACCTTTACAGAAGAAAATAACTTTTTAATTCTGTAGATTCAGTGCGTGTTGATTTTCATGTAGTTTTGGATTGGTTATATAATTTAAATTAATAAGGAATTGAGTTTTATGACGATTTTCGATTAATCTTGAATTTCCTAGCGGCAGTTTGATTACCGGAGGTGCTTTGAGCAGAGGGTTCATCAGTAGCGCTCGAATTGGTAGGCATTGGACTGGTAGAGCTCTGTAAAGGATTTTTACGTTGAGGCTTGATTCGTCTCAGCATGTGTTTTCTATCTTTGATTAAAATTTGATTTCCTTGTTGTTTGAAAATAGTGTTTTTGATATTTTGGTTTGTCCTTAGTTTGTCTGATTGGGATTTTGATATAGATCGGAGATTTTAAAACGGGGATCTTAGATACGCGTTTTTCGTTAATTTTGTTAGTTTGTTTTTTTAATTGATCATAAGAATCGTGAGCGATTTGTTCATTAATTTTGTCTTTTTCTAATATTTGTTTAAGATGTGATGAATAAGGGTCTTCAGTACTACCGTATAATAAATCAAAAGGTCTATGTTTTGTAGTAGAATGAACAGATTGATTGTAATTTAATATAACGTCAGTCATTAGGTCAGTAGTAGTGTCTGTTTTTCGAGTCTGTCTTAGGATTCGAAATGTTTCTCTAATGGTACTTTGTAATCGTTCAATTAGTGCAATAGAACTAGGATTGCTGGTGCTTCCTAAGTGCAAATGTATTTCATGAGCTTTACAATAATCTTTAATAACTTCTGAACGTAATTTTCCATAATCGGCATGAAGTGATTTTGGAAATCCATGATGTGAAAAGAAATGTTTCATTTTAGATAGTATGTCAACGTGATTTCGTGACATGGTCTGATAGGCTTGGGCATATCGACTAAAGTGGTCTATAAAAGTTACATATTTAGTATTTTCAATAGTAAAAATATCTATGAACACTAGTTGGAATGGTTTGTTACTGAAAAATGGGCCTTGGATTAGTTCTTTGTAAGGTTTTCGTTCGTATTTAGCTTTTAAACAGATTTCGCATTTATTAATGATGTCAGTTATAAGGTCTTTAAGTTTTGGTGTATAGTGAGTCTTTTGAAAATGATAATAAGTTTCATTAATTCCGTTGTGAAATTTATGATGGTACAAAGTTATTTCGTCTTTCATTTCTTGTTTGTTTAAATAAATTGGTTTAAATGCAGCTTTTTCTAGTACAATATGTTTTGCAGAAAAAGATTGGGTCATAATTTTACTAAGTATGGGCAAAAGTTTCTGATCGTCGTACCAAATTCCGTATTTAATACCAGGGGTACAATAATTTTTTATACAATCCAAAATAAATGAGGAACATAAGTGATTAATTAAAGAGCACCTTAGTGTCTTATTCGGAAGTAATTTGATCTTGTTTTTCTTTTTACCTGTTATAAATTCAATTCGGTGAGGATAGGCATAAAAGTTTTTGTCTGAAAATTGAATCGAGTTTGGGTTTGCTTCAGGCGAAGTGTGTCTCGTGTTAGTTGATCTGTTGTCTGTTTCGTGAATAGTCATTTCTGATTCGGGTGCGTTAGGGATCATTGATTCGGTTTCGAGATAATCCTGAACATTTATCTGGATTCGGCTTAAGGCGTCAGCAACTAAATTTGTTTTGCCTTTTTTGTATTTGATTTCGAAATCGTATTCCTCAAGTTTGATTTTCCATCTAATTAATCTCTGGTTTGGTTCTTTCAAATTTGATAACCACACCAAAGGTTTATGATAGTCTCAATCAGAAATCTATGTCCAAATAAATATGGTCTAAAGTGTTTGCATGAATCAATAATGGTTAAGAGTTGTTTTTCAATGGTGGAATAATTTCGTTCAGCAGAGTTTAATGTTCTTGAATGAAAACTGATAGGTCTTCCGTCTTGTGATAGAACACTTCCAATCGCAATATTTGAGGCGTCAGTTGTTAACGTGAACGTTTTTGAAAAATCAGGATATTGGAGTACGGGTGAATTAGTGATAGTATTTCTTATTACATCAAAAGCTTGAATGTAATCAGGATCTGCAATGTTGATTTTCTCGTCTTTCTTTAAACATTTAGTGAAAGGTTTGGTAATTTTGGCAAAGTATTTAATGAATTTTCTGTAATAGTTGGTTAATCCTAAAAATGATTGAATTTGTTTGATAGTTTTTGGTATTGGAAAATCTTGAATGCATCTGATTTTATCCGGATTTGGTTTAATTCCGTTTGGCGTTATTACATGTCCCAGAAATGGAACGTCTGTTCTTAGGAACTCTGTTTTGTCAAGTTGTATTTTCAGTTGATGTTTAATTAAAGCTTGCAATATAGATTTCAAATGAATAAGGTGGTCTTGCAATGATTTTGAGAAAATTATTATGTCATCTAAATAGACGAAACATATTTTCCGATGTAAGGTTTTAAAACAAAATTCATCATTCTTTGGAATGTTGCTGGAGCGTTTTTCAGTCCGAAGGGCATTCGTAAGTATTCATAGTGTCCGTTGTCGACGGTGAACGCAGCCTTTTCAATTGAGTCTTTGTGCATAGGAATCTGATGGAATCCTTGTGTCAGATCTAACGTTGAAAAATATTTGGCTGTACCTAAACTCTCTAATATTTCTTCAGTTCGGGGCAAAGGATATTTATCTTCGATAGTAATGTCATTTAGTTTACGAAAATCGATTACCATGCGATATTTTTAACGCCGGAAGCGTCAGGTTTCTTATTTATGATCCATACACGTGATGAGTACGGACTTGTACTGGGACGGATGATGTCATCTTGCAAAAGTTTAGCGACTCGTTTCTGAATTTCGGTTTTTAAATAGACTGGATAGCGAAAAGATTTTACAAATATTGGGTCGTCGTGTTTTGTTCTGATATAATGAGATGTTACGGTACATGGCTCTAATTTTTCGTTAGGTTTTAGAAAAGCTTCAGGAAATTTTCTACAAAGTTCTGTTATCTTGTATTTTTCCTCGTCATTCATGTGATCAGTTCTTATTAAACTTCCAATATCAGTTAAATTATATTCATTCTGGGGTGTTTCAATGTCGCAATTATTATTATATATAATTTAATAGGTGGAACGATAATTTGTCCATTTTTGATAGGGGATTTTAGAACTTGATTTTTGATTACAGTGTTCGGGACTTTACGTGGTATTTTGTCAGTGTGGCAAATAAAGTTTAAACGATCAATGGATAGCAAATTCTTAGATGTTTGTAAAGTAGCTTGAAATTTTTGTAGATCATAATATCCTAGCAAACAGTCAAAACGTTCGTGCCAGTCTAAAATGAGAAATTCAATTTCAGTGTTAATGCCATGTTCATTGAACAAAGGAATGCGCAAAGCGTATTCACCGTGTTTAGTACCAATGACAGATTTTATTGAAAAGTGTTTTGGATAAATGTAATCTAGAAAATAATTGAAAGCAATTTGAGTGTTGATCAAAGAGACAGATGCGCCAGTGTCTATAAGAACTAGCAAATCTAAATTTTTTAAATAAATGTATGGCAAATGTGTGTTCTCATAATTATTGAGATTTAAGTCAATGGGTTTTTGATTTGGGGCTTTCGGAAAATTTTGAGTTGTCTCTTCAGGGGGAAACTCGACAGTAGGGTTACTATCTGAATTTTCATATTCTTGTTGGTCAGAATTTTCATAATTTGGATCATAGTATTGCTGTTCATTGTATTCTTGTTCGTTTTGTGATTGTTCGGTCGCTTCGGTGTTGGTTAGTTCTTCAGCGATAAAATTTGGTCTTTGTCCGTGATTTGAGAAAAAGTTAGGACGGTATTGATTCTGTTGTTGCGAGGGGCGGTTCGTAATAGTTGATGTAGACATGGGTGTCGGTTTAAAGTTTTTTGGTGGACCTTGTCTTTGAGGATAGAAATTAGGCTGTCGTGGTTGAATTTGTCTTTGAAATTGATTATTAAAATAATTTGGTCTGATGTTAATCGGGCCAGTTGGGAAGTTAGATCGTTGTGGCTGTTGGTAAAATTGCGGATTGTAAAATTGTTGGTTTGAAGGGAATCGCCACATAGGTGTATTTTCAACGGGATTTGTAGGTTTCGGTTTTTGAATGGCGTTAGTATTTTTGGCATTTTGTTTAGTAAATACTTTGCATTGCGATTGTATTTGTAAATTATCGTATTTTCGACAAATTTGTAATGCAGCTTGAAGAGTTGTAGGTGTTGCGTTAAATAGGAGTGATTTATATGGTTCTTTAATACCAGTTACAAATGAATTTAATGCAGCTTCTGTGTAAAGGTCGACTCTAGATTGAGCAACTACATCAGAAAATTCCAAAAGAGCATATTCTCTAAGAATATGTAATTTTTGCAAAATTTCAGTATGAAAATTCATATAGTCTGTGTACTGGGATAAATTTCTAATTTCATCAAGTAGCATTAATTCGGATTTTGAATCTTTGTAACGTTCTTTGAGAATTTCTTCAAATTCTTGCCAAGTTTGAGGATTATTTCGTTCAACGATAACAGAAGGTTCTCCTTGTAGTTTGGATTTTACGTACGATAAAGCATGAATTTGATATGGGCCTTGCAAAGCGGCAACAAATTCTCTAGATTTACGTAAATATACAGATAAATTATTTGATGTTTCAGAAAAAATAAGCACACTATCTTTCAATAGGTTAAATAACATTTGTGGATTGTCAGCCATGGTTGTTCTGAATTCTTCTCTAACGTTAGCTTGGTTTTTTACTGGTTGTCTTTTAATGGGTGATCGTTCTCGTACTGGAGATTTACCAAAAGTTTCTTTGATTAAATAGATACAATGGATTTGGCTTACTCTAGCGTTATGTGAAAAATCAAATTTTTCATAACGGAGACTGCTCTGGTTCTTGTAGCTCTCTGTTTCTCTAGGATCGTTCTGCAGGGACCTCGGACGTGGCTCTCAGGTTCTCAGATCGTTTCTCTTACGGAAGTGAATACTTCCTACCTCACAATGGTTGGTCACACAGAAGGGACGTAGTTCAGCTCACCTGATGAATCTCGAAGATTTTACTGATGGTTGGCTGGGCTCGCACAAACTTCCAGATGTTTTCCACGAAGGCGTATAACGATCCTGTTCGCAGCGCCAGATAAAGAATGCACACGTCGTATGGTAAAAAAATAACAGACTTTATTGCAGGAACGAAGAGTGGTTACAAGTATTGAACAAAATCTGTCTGTGCCTCGATATAATTCTAACCTTTATAGGAAAAATAACAGAGCTGTATCGAAAAAAAAAGGAGTAAAAAGCAAATATTTCTTAATGGGCTTGCTTGCCATACAATTCAATTTGTTGGAATAATGGGCTTGTACCACATAGTTATGTTACCAACAGGATTCCATAACTTATATTGTAGGTTTTTCCACATTGAAGAATAGGGTAAACGTACCTAGCTTGAGCCAGGACGAAAGGAAGAGAAAAATAATGTGTTTAAAATTTAGGTTATGATGAACTGTCATTCCAGTAAGGAGCCAGGATTTGTCGATAACTTTATGAATTGTCCTGTGTTAACATTTATAGTTTTCAGTCGCAACGCCGGATAGCGGAAGAGCGTTTCGAGTTTCTTTTGGGTTTTTTGTGTCAATAATAAAGATTGAAAAATTCCGAAATTGGTGGTCATTCCGTCACATCGTACTTAGAAATTGCATATAAAAGAGCGATTAGTGGCCCTTCGTGGGAGTTAGGAATAGAAATTGATAGAAACACGAGGGAGTTGCTTAGATAATCGGGATTAAGGAAAATCGTTTAAGGAAAGAGAAATATATATTATGTAGATCGGTGTTAGCAGATATCAACAAATCGATAGTCGCCGTTAGCTTAGTAAAGTCTGGAGTTATTAATCGCTTAAATTTACCAGTTGCCCCGGACTATCATAGAATCATCACGGACATATCCGGAAAAGTTATCCAGAAAGGAGGATCAGCGAGAGTACGATTCAACCTCGGATGTATAGAAATGGAATACTAATTCGTCATCTGCAACAATGATCTGAATTTTCCAGCCGACGGACTATTAGGCATCGATTTTTTGGATCACCATCGACCTATCCTCGATTTTAATGGTGGATTAACGATAGGTTATAGGGACGATTTTAACCCTGAAAGTTATGCACCCCCTTTGGATGAATAAGCCAGCTACCGAGGCTCCTAGCTGTCGCGGATTACAAGAAGGATCTGGCTTGATTTCCGCGGACGCAAAGGAAATTGAGAAAAGGAGTCTTTGGGCCGAGGCTGACACTGTCAGCTATGGAAGTACCTTTCAAAAATTGTACCCATAGAGACGCGTATGCGCAACCCACACAGGTTTCTAAGGTGCCTGTAGTGAATAGGCGACAACTGCAGTCCTGCGAAAACGCGGATTCCCAGGGTACGGGTGCGGCGATCCCCGCGAAAAAGAGTAAGTCAGTTGCAACGAGGGGTACGAGTACTCACCTTCCTACGGGTCACCAGGAGTCAAGCACGACTTCTTTTGACGTCTTGGTCCAACAGACAATGGATCCAACCTTTTCGAAGTCCAATGCCGCCACCAGCGCTGACTCACAATCAAATCCACAACCAACAATAGAATTTCAGAAATCTAGCTTGGAGTAAGCCTACAACACCAAGGGACCAAGTCTACTCAGATTGTCTGAAACAATAGAAATACCAGCTTTTCACGGGAGCGACCTTAGTATTCCAGTGGACAGTCGACACCCATCCGGTACTATGGTCTGCGAACCCTTACACGTCGCCCCAGGGATTTGCGTAGCCAGAACTCGGAGTAAAACAGGTAACGAAGTGGCTGATCCCAATTTGTCAATCATCCTTAACCTGTGGTTAGCCCTATTCCTCCTACTACCTATCCACGATTACAAGAGAGAAGAGGATCAAGACCTCGAGGTAGACGCATTGCCGGCGGAAGAAGAACAGGCAACAGACTCCACCGGAACTATCAAGACGACATGCCGGGAGTCAAGGGCCAGTACCAGAATTACCTCCCATGGAGGAAATGGATACCTTCTAAGATCTTCTGTTCCCGGATGAACGCGAGGCTGTGGCAAACGAGATGGCAAGGAAAAATACAACAAACCGTCACTTCATGCCAGGACTCTTTATGAGAGAAGAGTTCAAGAACATCGCCATTTCTGTGGCGGAACATGTCTGAGAGTTCCTGTCACGTATGAGCAACATCTTCTCGGTGTGTGCATTCCTATACACCATGCTATGTGTTGCCAGCTATGTCGCCAGTGTGATCGCAAACTATTTCACACTCCGAAACGCAGCGAGGAACCATCCAAAGAGGAGACGCTACCTATGGGGTAGTCTATGGCAGGCTCTAGCTCACCGTTACCTGTACCACCTACACACTCAGCGAGAACAGCATTTCGAACTTCAAGAAGTCAACCATCAGAGGGATGCCGAGACCACAGCGGAAGCGGACGTCGCCATCCAGATAGCGCCGGTACCCATGGCTCCGGGCTATCCACAACTGAGGCCGTGCAAGGATAGCACGTCCCTGGATCCACACGCAGTGGCGTATCAATAGGTCACAAGAAAATTTTCCTTACCTTTCTGTTTCATTTTTTTGGAATTTACCTATTATTTCATTTATCCTATTGTTAAGCTATGCCTTCCGAACCATTTTATTTATTCCATGATTTGAAAAAAAATGTTCCGTATAAGGGGGGGGGGGGGGGGTAATGTAGCCGACCAAGTCATGAATTTCTAAATTCGTTGAAATAATTCGTCATGCCGCCTACCCTTGTAAAGAAATAAACATAAAAACTAAGGTCAGAACAAACACTCGCATCTGCAAACCACCCAGTGAACGCCAAGGGAAACAAAATTCATATTACGAAGAAAATAGATAAAAGAACCGGATGCTATAAAGTTGGGCTTTTCAAATATGCCGGGACAAAAACAGGGTTTTGAGATCTATTCTGCAATAACATTTGATTGCTATAACTATAAAGTTACAACCAAAGGAGTGCCGAGAAATCTGAATCTCAACCATTTGGTTAGCAGATGTTAGAAACTACCCCGAGCGCTGAACGGTCACGCGTCAGAGGCGTATCATGGTATACCTAAGACTTCCGAAGGCTAGCATATTACTAAAAATTGTCAAAATTGTGGGAAAATATGAAAAATAGGAGACAAACAGCTAGGTTTTTAATAGAATTTTCCCCTAGCTGATAGGGGCAGGTGCGCCAGGCTGGATACGATTCTTCCTTCTGTCAACGTACGCGTTGACAGATGCGGTTTGGAAATTATCATTAGAGAGGAGCAGGTGAAACTAACGAAAGACTGCGTAGTTCCAATGAAGCTAATTTTGTTAAAAATATATATAAAAATTCCAGAAGAGAGTCACCGTTAGTTTTACCTAAATGCTATGTATAATTTTATAATTAATTAAGAGGACATCTCGAATTGTGGCCTCAGCATTACAGGAATTTCTAATCCATTGAAATTATTGAAAACTGCAGGGTTTGCCCTAAAGCAATTAAAGCCTCGAGACTCCACTGAAGGGGGCGTGTTTCGTAAACTTAAGGGAAGACTGTACGATGACGACACTCCTTGAGGTGGGACAAGGGAACGTAATTAACCAATAGGGTTTAAGGTCATTTTGAGTTCAAAAATTAAGTCTAACAATCATTGGTCAGGTTAGTTTCCATCTTTAGAGAATCAGGCGCCCATTGCAAGGGTTGTAAACTGATCGACCAATCAGTCAAAATGACCAGCCATCTGATGGAGGGGAAAATCCGCAACTGACCTCCGATAATTTTGAAACTAAAAACTTCAGCTCTTCTCTTATCTTTGATTTGTACGGTTGAAAAAGTTGCTTCGATTTTCCCTCACTTAGTGGCTGTTAATAAGTGTTGCATTGGTAGAATTTGTGTCAAGTTGTGTTCTCATCAGTAAGCACTTCCACTTACTTAAAAGGGGTTTTCCCTTCTTTATTAGCCCTTCTGGCTAAAGCTAACACCGAGTCAACTAAGGATTCTGGGTACTAGCTCGATCAATTAGCATTGTAAAGTTGAGATTCTAGAGTTTAATTTTGCTATTAGGTTCAAACTTAAATTTATTGTAATTTAGTTGTCACCGTTCCTTTTAACTTAGTCGTAATTCACTCCTCCCGTGATCTTTTCCCCAGCCTATTAGTTTTACGAAGTTAACTGTTCTTTGTCATTGCTACTTCACTCTTCACGAGTGTATAGATGTTTTGAGTCTGTAATTCAATTATTAATAAAAATGAGTCTCCTTTAACTTGAGTTCCTTTAATTTCATTAACTAAAGCTAACTGAGTTCGAGGGTTCCGAAAGTATCCATTCGGGCGTTTACCACATTCTCTGATTACATGGAGAACAGAGGAAGCGACATTCCGCGTAAAGTGAGTGTTTCAATGAGTCAAGATTATAATACTTTATGTCAGGTTCTACGCGAGTCTACCTCCTATAGGAAGACAAGTAAAAGGTAACAGAATTTGAAATTCGAGGGGTCTGGGACCAGTCCAGAAATTGAAGTATTGGACTGGAGATCCGAACTATATATTCAAGGCACGACATTGAGAGGTCCGGGAGTCTCGGACGAAGATCCTGTTACAGAACCTAATAAACAGATACGGTAGGCAACAAAACAGTAACGGACCAATAACAGTACAAGCACAAGTGCACAATAACGCTTCAAACACAGAAGCACCATGGAACACACCTAAGACGCCTACTAGTGCCCTTTACAGAAATAACACTAAAGAGCAAGTAGATGAAATCGTTGAAAACTTAAAATACCTTAAACCTGAAACCCTAAGTAAAATTAAACAAATAGTACTTAATGATACAGACCAGACTGACAACGAATTTTACTGAAAAAGCAAAAAATGTTACATAGCCTAGTCTCAGTAGTACAAAACAGACACATTTACAAAATCAACAGCAAAGGCACTTTAATCACTTTACAGTGGAATCTAAGGAGTAGTAACAGCGTGAATTTGATACAATTTTTAGAAACGCATAACCCAGACATCATTTTTTTAAATGAGACATGGCTAAAGAAACAACAGAGTTAGCATATTAGAGGCTATCAATGCATTAGAGCAGACCGAGAAGATTGGAAAGGTGGAGTAGCTATGAAATCATAGAATCCAACAACCTCATCATAATGAATGGTGGTTCCTCAACCAGACTCATAGGACCAGGGGAGAATCCGAGTCCTCTTGACCTGACCATAGTGTCGAACAACTTGGCCACCATCACACATTGGGGTATCTGACTGTGTGTAACATTCCAGCTGAATTCTCATTCCATTGTTCAAAAAATGAAAACCATCAATTCTACTTCAGAGATTTATGTATCGCTTTGGAAAACCTCAAAAATAGTGGAATGGACAACATCTCATATTTATTGCTCAAGAATCTACCAAGTTCAACACTACACTCACTATTAAACATATACAACAACTGCCTATCGGGTATGCAAATTCCTAACAGCTGGAAAGAGCATTTGATATACCCCTTACTGAAAACAAATAAAGACCCAAACAACCCCAACAACTATACACCTCTGATTCTAAGCTCGTGAGTAGGGAAAACACTAGAAATTTTGATCAAAAATAAATTAGAGTGGGAACTCGATCGTAAGATAACTTTTAACCACCTGCAGACAGGATTCAGAAAAGCACACTCTACCCAAGACAACTTCGCTTTCATAGTTTCCAACATACAATTGGCTTTTTCACAAAAAGAAACCACGTTAGCAGTCTTCCTAGACATCAAATCAGCATACGACAACGTAAACATTTTTCTATTATACGAAACACTAATAAAACTTGGAATATCTAAACAAATTTGTAATCTAATTTTTAATTTACTGAATAACAGAACAGTATATACAATAGATAATGAAAACAATATACATGGCCCAAAGGTCACCTCACTAGGCCTTCCTCAGGGGTCCCCTCTAAGCCCACTATTGTTTAACATATATACAAATGAATTATATTCAATATTACCACAACACATACATTTACTCAGCTACGCGGACGATATGGCACTGATGATCAACGATAACAAAATAGACAAAATGGCGGAAACATTAAACGAGTATCTGGAAAGAGTAACCGTTTGGATGAAAAGCCACAACTTTGAAATATCAGTGGGAAAAAGTTCAGCGATATGGTTTACGAAAGGTAATCGAATGCGGTCCACACCAATAATTAAAATTAACAATGACTTAGGGGTCATACTACATAAAAATTTAAAATGAAGCGCACAGATAGACAATATGATAAATAAGGCTAATAGGAGAATAAAACTGTTAAAAATTTTTGCCGACCCTGCAACCTTACACATGGCGTATAACGGACTAGTTAAATCCCATCTGGATTATGGTAGCATACTATTAAGTTCCTGCAATCAAAAAGACCTCAATAAACTCCAGAAGACGGCATTTCAAGGGCTCAGGATCATAACGGGTACCATGAAGTCAACACCAACTAACACGTTACTAGCAGAAACCGCGGAAATGGACCTACACCACAGGCGGATCTGGTTATGCACTAAATTCCTAGCGAAAAAAATTAGAATTTAATCCCACCCCTTAATCATGATATTAAAAAAACTAAAAAACCAATGAGTCAGGCCAAGACGATTGGAGGAATAGAGCGCCCACCATCACCATAGAAGCCCTTAACATTTTGGACGAATACATTCCACTAATCCATTCGGGACGAGCCCTACCGTGCTTCGAGTTTGATTACACTACTCAAACTCGGGCAGTGAAAGTCATCCCCCTTAACATAAACAAAAAAGATCACAATATCGAGCTGCAATTTCTACAAATTATGGAATAGTTCAGAGACACTCATACCCTTATATACACTGACGTATCTAAAGTGGACTATAAAGTGGGATATGAGGTACACATTCCTCAACTGGAACATAACTATACATCCAGACTACCTGACTACTTAAATATCTGCGCGGCGGAAGTAGCAGCGATTCACAAAGAATGCAACATAGTCATAGAAAAGAAAATCCAGAAAAGCCTAATATTAACAGACTCGCAAAGTGCTATAGCACAAATAGTAAAACAAGGTGTGGATGCTAACTCAGAATATGGCTGCCTCACAACAAGAAAGCTAATTCACGAAGCTGCAGAAAAAGGATACAATATTAAACTGGCTTGGATCCCAGGACACTCAAACATTAGAGGAAATGAAACGGCAGACACTCTAGCTAACTTAGGAACACAACTCAGAATCTCACAGGATACGAAACTTACTATACCCGATATATTAACTAAGGCCAAAACAAAAATAAAGGAGAAGTTCACAACAATATGGAAACGAACATTCCTCAACAAAGGCAGGTGGTATAAGAAAATACAAGAAGAATTTCTAGTCAAACCATTCTACTCCAAAATCCCGTATATAAGCAGAAGACACCTAACAGCCATAATCAGAATGAGAACGGGAAATGCAAGATATAAAGCTCACATGTTCAAAATAGGAATGGAAGATGACCCCTTGTGTGATTGTGGACAAGATGCAGATTTAAATCATATACTATTAGAATGCCCAATAAATCAAATATTAGGTTTTAATCTTTATGAAGAGATAAGAAAAGCTGGAGTCAATGCCCCCTTTAACATTCAATTAATACTTGCAAATATCAACATGAAAGTCATATACCTATTAACCTACTTCATTCAGACAAATAAATATTACAACTGTTTCAGATCCCCATCTTTTAAAACCCTGGGTGCTAATCCTTTTCCGAGGCAACATTTAGGGTGTGTGTAATGTACCTCCGTTGGCCGGGTACGAGAAAAGTCTATACCTGTGTTGTGCTATCTGTCTGACTAACCTCCCCACACCACTTAAAAAGCAAAAGTAAAGGTTTTCATCAATCATAAATAGCAACACATCAGCTCTAGAAACAATACAGCAGAAGATATAGATCTATTTTACAGCATTTCTACACGTGTATTCGAGACAATACAGTGACTCGTACATGGCTGAGAGCTAGGCAAAGTACAGTTACAACAAATGAGCTGGCGGATTGTACACGTGCACAGAAGCCATAAGGAATAAAGAAGAAGAAGAAGAAGTTTTGTAAAAAGGAAGTTATGCTGCCGCCTCTGTACTTGAAGGAACGCTTCGACTTGGTTGAAAAATGTGTCTTCAAAAAAAACACTTTCCATAAATTACGCAATATGATCTGATATAAAAGCGGTATCTTTAGGTATAAGCAAGATATTCACTCCAGGGTCGGTCTAAATTAAATATATTTATAAACTGATAATGTATTGATAAAGACTGAATTTTCTGTTAGCAGTTCAAAAAAACTTACCGTTAGCAAAGGTGTTGGATTTAAACGGATTTAATATCAAGAAAAACAGGTTAACAATAAACAGTGCAAATAACAATGTAAAAATAAATTAAAGTCTTCGTATACATAAAGATTCACAAAACGAGACCAAGAATGAAACATCATACACATTACTGCATTTTAAAGGGAGTCTTCTATGTAACGTTTTTTCCTCGAAGGCTTCATTAAAAAGCTACGGGGTGTTAAAGTTTAAAAATAAAAGACAATTCAAAACCGTCAACTGGAATGAACTAAAATTTGGTAGGTGGATTTATCTATGTATTGTCCTATTCAAAAGTCTTTACTTAAAATTAACGTGCTCCAGTGTTGGAGATACAGGGGATTAATAGCATTATTTTGTAAAGGTAGATTTCATTGATTTGGTTTTGTGGTCAGATGAATCGGTGTTTACGAGGAGTGAAACCTTTAATTCTCATAGTGAACATATTTGGTCGTTAGAAAATCCCCGTTCTGTAAGAATGCAGTCGTTTCAACACAGATTCTTCATTTTCAATGGCCAACTGTTTGTGCACGTATTGCCACAACGTTTAAATGCAAACTCATACTTAGCTTTTCTAGAGAATTACATAGAAAATGTATTAGATGATTTTCCGTTAGCAACGAGAGTACGAATGTGGTATCAGCTATGACGGTGCCCCACTGCATGTTCGTCGTGACCTAATCGCAAGGTTAGATAAACATTTTAGACAACAGTGGATTGGCAGAAACGGACCCGCACATTGGCCTGCGAGGTCTCCTGATTTGAGCCCCTTGGATTTCTTTTTGTGTGGCGCTTTTAAACAAGTCTATGCTGAACAAATTAATACTGTTGATCAGTTACAAGACTGAATAGATAATGTGTTTCATCAAATTCAAGCCACAACAAATTTTCTTTATTAAAAAGATGCCGCACTTGTATTCGTCAGAATGGTGGTATTTTTGAACATTTATTGAAATAAAGCTTAGATTATGTATTTTTTTATTTTTTCGAAAACGATGCACTCTAGGAAAAAAATACAAGAGTAATTATTTGTAGCAAATTGAAGGTAAAATTCGAAAAATTGCGCGTTTTGAAAAAAATAGTGACGTACTATTTTTATTTGGAAAAATAATGCCACTAATCCCCTGTATCTCCGCCACTGGTACACGTTAATTTTAAGTGAAGATTTTTTAATGTGGGCAATACTTAGGTAAATCTACATACCAAATTTTAGTTCATTCCAGTTTACGGTTTTGAAGATATTGAAAAAAAATATTTTTTATTTTCAAACTTCAACAGTCTGCATCTTTTTAATGAAACCCTCGAGGAAAAAATGTTACATTGAAGACCCCCCCCCCCCTTAAAATGCGGTCCTGTGTATGATGTTTTATTTTTGGTCACGACTTATGAATCACCCTATATATTGTTTCGTTACGATAAGGCTGATCTCAACGCGCAAACTACTTAAAACTTGGCCCTGCCGAACGACGCACTTTTAAAATTCCACGGGAAAGCAAACATAAACCAGATGTCTATGTGATAGAGATAAAAAGCATGGTTTCTTGTAGGCATTGTGGCGCCTCGTCCTTCGCAGGTACTCTGAGGCTAAAGACGTTGGAAACAGTAGAATCTATACACTTACTTTTGAATAATCTGTCCAAGCCGTCATCTCCACTTCATGACAATACTGTCCCCGTGAGGTTCCAGCAAACTCTCCATACAAGACTGCTGTGGTCGTCGAATTGTGCTACCGTTTGTACATCTAACTTCGTAAGTCTCGTTTGTAAGGTTTCTTCATTTCTGAAAAGTTTTGATAGTTGTACAAATTGAGGTGCACATGGGACTTAGGCATTCATTAATACATTCCACCAGATGTACCGTGGCGTCACCAGCAAATTACGCATGTAACTATACTAAACCCACATTAGTTTGAAGTAGATTGGTTTAAGACATGGCTGTCCTACATACGGCCCGCGGACTCCTTTCTTGCGGCCCGCTTCACGGGTCATGTATACACCTCATGTACCGATGTTCGTTGGTTAAGCGCTGGAATGTGTTTGTATATAGATATATAGATGTTGTATAGAAAGATTTTATAATGCGGCCATCCAAACTGAATTTTTTTTAAGTTGGACAGCCCTGGTTTAAGAGAAAGAAATCCAATATTCAAAGTAATGTAATAATTACTTTGGCAACGAACATTTTTTATCCAACATTTTAATGCCACAATAAATTAATTTCGATGATTCGCTTTTATATTCCGTGGTTTATTTTCAAGGATATACTTGAACTTATATTTATCCGCCATTTGGATTTCATTAATTAAAAATATATGTTTATTGTGAAACATTTATTTGATCTTTGAAATTGCCTTGACCTTCAAATGAGCTTAGATGAGTCTTTTCCAAACTTACCACTTTATTACACAAAATTTTTCTTTATGAAACGTATTTTTCGAGATATTTTCTCTATCTTCTGGGCAGCCTGAAATACCCATGAAGATCATGGGTAAGGTCATGGGCAAAGACATACTTTAACGTAAAATTTCCTCTCTTTGCATTTCCGGAGTTTCATTTGAAAAACTGACTTGAGCTGCAAATGACGTTGAAAGTCATATACAAGGACACAATCACATGAATCTTTTCAAAACCTTGCAATTTTATTCTACTCCACTTTTCTCTAGTAAACGTATTTTATATTTATATATATTATATTTATTTATAGTTTCATAACGCTTTGTATATTTTTGTGGATAAACCCATGCCTATAACCTTCCCCATGAATCAATTACTAAGTGTGCCAATTCTTACGTCTCTCCGTATTGTGGTTCAGACCTGATGCTGACACATTTATATATAGTTATCCATCAACCAGCACGCTTAGGCGTCAGCGTTCCCAACTCTCAGGCAATTTATGTATGTGTTTTTTAGGTTTTTAATACACCAGCTGATAGATCTCAGTGAACCGCACTCGTATAACATAACTTGAAAAGTGTAGCACTTGTTTAGGACATTGTTGTTCTTTTGGCACTATTTATTAGGTTTTACTATAAAATGCCACCTTTGAACAAGATGTAACTGAATAGTGTCAAAACTAGATAGAGAGAATTTTTTACGTTACCAGACAACCTTAATCCATTATCCAATTGCAAACCTAAGTTCCTTACCACTTTGAGGTTCTTAATTGCATTGTTACCCATTCTGACAGTAAAGTTATTTTGCAAAGTAGCTTAATGTTTACCAAATAATATAATGATAGATTTAGATGGGTTAATGGTAAGTTGATGTGACAAAAATTCAGAGTGAAGTCTATCCAATTCCATATCATATATGTTTTACAATATCTCTGATCATAATCGAGTCCAAATTTTTGGAATGGAACACTCGTATACCCTTGATTTCCACTGTTTTTCAAGAGTCTCATCAATTCATTTTCTGTACTCAGGTAATGGGTTAATACCAAGTAAAAATAAGCTTCATTCTCACTTTGACATGGTAGGATTTCAACTGAGACAACTTAAAGGCAGTCTGCATTGCATCTCATGTTGCAGAGTCTACTGACTGAGGTTCATTATATCTGAGGCTTCTTAAATCCGAACAATACCCTCTGCAGAACAAGTGGCCAGCTGGAGTCCCAGCCATCTAGGGCAGCATCGGGCGTCTGTGACGGACGTGCGAGAGTCTACAAGGTTGGCACGACGGACCCAGTGGCGTACCCCTCGATCATTAGGACTTGAGAAGTTCAAATAAAATTTGGATGGTGGAAAATTTGACAAAAATGCTTTAATGAGATTACCAAACGTCAGGCTATAACTTAAATTCTAAGAAACAGTAAAGTTCATTATTTGTTTTAATAGTATAGTTAAAGAAAACGAAATTGGCATATTGAAATAGAGCTTATTTAAATCTTCTGCATTACCCAATAGAGGAAAGAGCAGTTACGAATTAACTTTTATTCCAGATACAGATAGAATTTTACTGTATATTTCATAACAAAAAGTATGGCTACATTCGTGGAATATAACATTACAGCACTGGTATAAAGTGATGACAGCTTTTTCAATTACTCAATATTTACAACACATCATTTTTTTTTAATTACCCCAGTACCAGAATGCATGAATAAGTAACAGCCATCAAGTATTTTGAAGGTAACAAAGAGTTGAATCTTACATAGAAAACATATATCTCTCTTCATCATGTATTTTTTTGTTGTATAAATTGATACAACACAACTAAACAATTGTTCTGCTGGTATTATAATTTGTTTGAGGCATTTATGAAGACTCTTTTATAAGTAATAATATGAAAATCCCGAATTTAGCACATACATGGTGGTTGCAAATTCGAACCTTACCATTAGGATCTCGACAACAGTAAGAGATACGAAGTTGCTTAAATAGGGCAAAGCTACATATTTTGGTAACTATCAACCTGCTGTTTAAAAAGTTTCAAAAACCGAAGTACTTCCGGACAGAGACGAAAAAAAAACAGAATATTCCCAAAATCGTTTTTCCTTTTTTCTGAGTTTATTTGTAGCGGGATTTCAAAATAAAATACACGTTAACATTGCCACTTTTTTTCCTCTACAAGATAGCATAATTAGAATTTCAACATGAAGTTTCATCTCTTGTCCTCCACCATCAACTTTATTTTTTCTTAATGACGCCAAATTGTATTTTTGCATAGGTGAATAGTTTTTAATTCCAAAAAGTAAATACATATGTATGTTATATGTATATGTAAATACACCCTTGCCAAACCTTAGTTATGTCAAAAAAACAAAATATCCTAGGTTGGCCTTGAAAATGATTTTGCGATAAATCTGGTATATGAAACAATAATTTCAAGGCAAAAATCCTGGTCCTTAAGAAAAAATATAGTTGATGCTGAAGGAGAAGAGACAAAACGCCATTTTGGAATTCTAATTATGCCATTTTGTAGAGGAGAAAAGTGGCAATGTTATTGTGCAATTTATTTTGGAATCCCACTACAAATAAAGTCAGTAGAAAAATTACACGATTTTGGGAAAATTCGATTTTTTCCATCTCTTCGAAAGAATGGTCAATTTCGAAACTTTCCAAGCAACATTTTGTTAGTTGGGCGTTTCTCTGTAAAGTGGTTAACTCGTTGTCTCCTACCATAATAATGTAAAATAGAAGAGATTATTATTTGTTCCATTACTATTTTCGAAACATAATGATCTGGCCCACCTGTCCTTAGTATGAATTATCTATATAAACCACTGTTAATATTCTAAAAACATTGTTGTAATGCTCAAAAAACAGTCCTCTGGTATGTCACCAAAGCGTTGCAATGGCTTGTGATTCAGGTATTGAAACAAATAAGTTTAGAAATCGACTAATTCAAGCATTATTAACAGTGCTTATTTTTTCATTTATCTATTAAAAAAAGAAAAAACAGATTAGTTTGAGCTGGTCACACCATATAGCGATCAGTTCCCTGTGTATATTTCAAATGACGTGGCATAAAGCCTAGAACGCAAAAATATCGTTATATTGCGTTCAACGAAACGGGAACAGAGTGAAGTTCACGCGGTTGCTACCAGAGCGGCCCTGAGGCCATCTTCTTCAGTGCTGCACACGTGTTGCTCCGAGTTACCCGCGTCAGAACCTAAAAGCCCTCTGGTAAGAAATATTTAAAATCCTTTCTGTGTTTTTGAGTCATATTTCACATAATGTACTTTATTCAAATAGATAATTTTTAATTGTATGTATCAAAATAAAACAAATGGATACTGTATTGTGCTACTTATCAATCTAATCTAACTAAACAGTCCCGTGGCAACAGTCCCCTGCATTTAAACAGGACAGGGGATTGTTCTTACTTCCAGAGGACTGTCCTAATGTGTATGCATCATTATTATAGGCACAAGATATTATTACAAAATGGCACCAAGGAAGAAAACACAGACCAAGGAGGAAATTTTATAAAAGAAAAAGGATGCTGAATGGAAAACGTACGAGCGCCTCAAGAACGACCCGCAGAGAAGGGAAGAGATAAGAGAAAAGGGACACCTGAAATACCTTAAAAAAGAAAAAGAAAAGGGGATTAGGAAGCTTGTTAAAGATATGACGCCACGAGAACACCGGGAGGCTAAAAAGAAATGGAGAGAGCATTGTTCTGCTTATCGGAATAAGAAGAAAGCGTTGACAAATATAACTAACACTTATCTGCGAGAAAATACACCAGATTCGGAAACATCGCACTCATCCCGACCAACAACACCTCAAGATGTTGATATGTTCAAAAAACGAATTAATAGGGAGAAGAAACTTAGATATCAAATAAAAAAGAAAAAAGATGAAGAGATCAAATTATTAAAAAGAAAATTATTGCAATATAGAAAACGTGTTTCGAGACCGATGAAAAAGGAAAGAAAAATGTGTAAAGATACTAACTAGCAGATAGTCCAGAAACTAAGAAAGATCTAGTCAAGAAGGCATTGTTTGGTGAGGTGTTAAAAGAACAATTACAAGAAAACTTCTCAAACATAGAAACATTGAATGAAAAAACGCTTTTGACCAAAGTAGTATTCAGAAAACTAGTGGAAAAATACAAATTCTGGCGTATGGAAAACACAAAAGTGATTAATTACAGAAGAATAAAAAAAGCAAAACTACTCGGAGGACGCGTCGTCGGAAAATTCTGTAACTCTTTGGACTTAAAATCCGAGTCAGTTGGGATAGTGATGAAACATCTAAGCTGCTTTTGTAACAAAGATGGTTGCCTTCACTTTAACATCGGAAAATTAAACTATGAAAATAAAGTTAAACTAACAGTTGCTGAAGAATTCACTGACTCATGACCTGATGAAGCCGGACCCAGCTCTTCCGCAGCTAAAGCACTCATCAATGGAGATTACATCCTAGTCGAATTAGTCTCAAAAAATATGCAATATAGATATGTAAGCGTAATAAACAAAATCGATAAAGATGGGGAGTTACATTTTTAAAGCTTTACGACAATAAAGGTCAAACATTTAGAATAGATCCGGACGATATAGCAGATATTACAATGGATCAAGTGATAGAAAAATTACCTAATCCAAACATACTTTCAAAGGGAAAAATATACTATTTTATACATTTGATCCACCTATTAATGTTTTTGAAAAACGTTAAGCTTCGTAAAACTAATGGTTGTGTGTAAAAGACTGATTATGTTACCTTAAGCTTACAAAGTTATGTACCTCTGTAACAAGAGTATAATAAAAGTATTGATATTTTTTTGTAGTTTACCGAAGAATTACTATAATTGTTAATTTCCAAGTTTAGAGAAAATAAAATATTTAATTTTGCTAATATATTGGTATTTTTAATTTGAGTACACAGTCCCCTGCCATAACTGACAGTCCCCTGTATCAATAATTTAGAAAATGCTTAATATTTCCTAAATTATGACCTATATTTTTGGGTTCCTCGTGGTTTGTCATTAAGCTTGAAAGTATACATCTCCTAAGTAAGATGTTTCAAACATTTAAGCAAAAAAGTGGGCAAGACAGTTTTTCCAAATAAGTTGACCAGTTTACAGAGAAACACCCAGTTACCCATATATGCAATTTTGCCCCCATTTAACGACTTCGTCTCTATTACCGTTTCCGAGATCCCAGTGGTGCAGGTCGAATGTGAACCACCTGGTACATGAACATCTTTCTCAACATCTAATGCAGTATTAATGAGAAGTAGAAGCTACCTTGATGACTTTTTTTTTTGTTATTTCAATTTTATGCATACAGAGTTACTAACTACTATAAGTCTACCAACCTATATTCCCAATCTGCTCCCATATAGCAGCAGTTCTGTCAAAAGAACATGTTGCTAATACTTGGCCAACTTCTGGATGTGCCCATGTTACTTTCCATACTGAACCACTGTGAGCCTTCCAACTTTAGCTTAAAATCCATTTACCTTCACTGTTTTGGTCCCATACCTAATAAGATAAATAGATTATCATAGAAAGAATATTGGTACATAATTTAACAAAGTCAGATAACTTTGCTCACAGTATATAAAGAATATCAATCATTCACAATGATAGAAAAATCAAGACTAGTGCAAACATTATTCCCCCTTGTGTGAGATCATGAATTGGACCACCACATGTTAGCTCTTAATACTGTGGGACTGATCAAATGAGCAAATAACTATAATAAATATTTATCTTGGCTTTGGAAGGAATTTAAGATACTTCAGTTCCCAAAGAAATGCAGCACTATTCAGGAATTTTGCACTCCATTCATCTATACACCATCTAACGCTTAATTTGGCATTGTATCTTATATGTCCACATACACCTGTTTCCAATACACGTCAGCATATCAAACATTTTATACTGAAGGTATCTTATTTAGACCCTCAATCACCAAGATTTATACTTCTACCACCATATATTATATGATTTAAAAATGTAATGACTCCGCTTATCAGCTGATAGTATTGAGTGGCATGACTTTACAGTATATATTTATACTTTTCTAATAAAATAATGCACTTTTCCATAGAATATTGGTCACTTACAGATCATGGAAGTTGTATGTATCAGATAGAATCATATTTAGGTGATGTTGTAAGTTACTTGATCAGAATTGCTGATTTGATTCAACTGTATCCCATAATCTACAGACCACCTTATGGTAAATCCAAGTATATACATTGTAGTCGAGTATCAAATTGAAAAAGAGCAGCATAACTCATCATACACCACTGCTAACCCAACACATCAAACATATGTAAATACACAGTTATTGTGCCCTGATTAATGGTGTGTGATCTGTAATGCTACTCACTTCCAAGCTGGTTGTTGACATGGTTTTATATCATATATCATACTGTGTGCATATCAAAATTTGTGAGGATTAACATTTACAAAAAAAAAAGTTCACATTACTAGAATATATGCCTTATTATTGTATTCCACCACTGATTCCAGCAAATATCAGCATTCGATATAATTATATACATTATGTAAACTGAATTTATATGGCTTATTTTCCATTCATTTGTGAATGACATTTTGGTTCGTCATTCTGTGCAAATTTTGTTAACAAAAATCACATTTTGTCTCTCATAATTCAGATCCTAATGAATCTATAGATATCCATGATAAAAAAAAATGAAAAACAGGTTTGCCAAATTAATAATTCAGATCTTTGAAACTGGTTTTTGTCACACATATTATAAAGTTCTATTCCAATGCATGAAGTAATTATATCCAAGTTAAAATTCACAGGAGACAAAATGTAAATGCAAATACATACTCTGAAAGAGTTTAGAATGACTTGGCTATTGGGGTCTATGCCTATCCTATATATTAGTAGCTTTCTTTTACGTTCTCGCTCATGTATAAACAGGTGAGAAACACAATTTAGTTGTACATTGGACTTGGACAGTTCTTGCATGGAGCATGGGAACCAGGGGGTATTAGACTATAAAAGATCTTTGACAAAGGTATTGTATAAAATATTTTAGTAGGATTTATTTGAAGACATTTTGTTTACAAATTTTGATAACCGTATTATACTACATAAAAGCTTTTACAATATTTTTAGTTTATCATTAGGTACGATGGATGAGAATCGGTTTGTTGCTTGTGCTGCTGCAATAAGTGCAATTATGACGGTGTGTTTATTGTTAAAAAAGAACAAAAAAAAACGACGCCTTTGGGTGAGGCCCTGGATTGCTCGACGTGAACAACAAGGAATTCATCATACCTTGCTTCGAGAACTACAATTTGAAGATTTAAAAAGTTACATCAACTATTTAAGAATGGATGAAGATAGCTTCAAATTTATAGCGTCGAAGATATCACCATTAATTTCCAAACAAAACACACACTTGAGAAATTGTATTAGCGTAGAGGAACGTCTTATGGTGACACTTCGTTTTCTAGCAACAGGGGAGAGTTATAGAAGTCTACAATATAGCAGCCGTATACCACAATGCACACTGTCAGGCATAATCCCAGAGACATGTGAAGCTATTTACCAAGCGTTAAAGGGAGATTTTCTGAAGGTAAATATAAAGATATATAAAAGAACGTACACATATGGTTTTTATTACAAATATATTTTGTTAGTACTAGAAATAAAAATGAAAATGACAATTCATATTTGCACAAAACTTTTTAAACATTATTAGAAATTATAAAACTCACGGTGAAACAAAAAAAGTTTAGTTTAATTGAGAAAAACATGCAGGATCATAATCAGATCTTGTTATATTAGCCATATGTATTGCATTTTCAACTACATCCTCTGAAGTATTACCATCTGCTTGCATTTGATTATCTGTATTAATTTGCAGAATATTACAAGCACCTGGTGTCTGGGTTGTTAATATCCATTGATTTGAAGATGATTGGGATGAAACAGGGCTAGGTAGCAGAGTTGGTTGATCAATCATATCCCAGGCCTCCATTAAAACCATCTGAATTTTTCTTTTAGTTTTCCGTACTGTATACTCGTTGCTTGCACCTTGAATACCACGTAGCTCAGCCACTACAAACTGACCAAATGTCTCTAAAGAATCTTGTGTTGCTTTAGAAACTGATCTCTCTCTAGCTATTTTTGACATTTCCTCCATTGTATTTGCTGCCTTAGTTAATACAGAATTGTGCGAAAATTTTTGTATTTTTCTGATTTTTGGAGGTAATACTGAGCTTTCTTCATTTAACCTTATACTTAGGTTACTGTTCGTATCTTGATCCTGGAAAAAAAATTAATTATAATTCAACAGTTAAGCCTTATATTTAAAATTTTTATTTTATAGGTACCCAGAACCGAGAAAGAATGGTTAGATATTGCAAAGGACTTTGAAGATAAATGGAATGTGTTCAATACAATCGGGGCGATGGATGGAAAACATGTACGCATTACCTGTCCAGATAAAGGAGGATCCCATCATTTTAATTATAAATCTTATCATAGCATTATTTTGTTCGCACTTACGGATGCCAACTATAAATTTATCTACATAGATGTGGGGACAAATGGTCGAATTGGTGATAGTGGCGTGTATAATAAAAGCTAACTTAAAAAATGCCTTGCAGATAACTCTATTTTGAACATACCTGCTGGTAAAAATCTTCCGGGCGCTAATATTGCTACACCTTATGTTGTCTTGGCAGACGACGCCTTTCCACTAAGTTACAATGTTATGAAACCTTACCCATTAAAAAATATAACCAGAGAAGAAAAGATTTATAACTACCGATTGTCTCGCGGAAGAAGAATTGTTGAAAGTAGTTTTGGAATATTGGCAAGCCGGTTCAGGGTATTTTTAACTACAATCAATTTATGCCCTGAAAATGTCACAAAGATTGTACTTGCAGCCTGTACCATACATAATTTGTTGATTGACCGAAGAAAACATCTGTATACTTGCCATGAGATTATTTCTAGAAGTAGGAAAGGACACACATTTTTAGACGTTTTAAGTCATGAAGAACTTCAAGAATTGCAAACTCTAACCACTCAAACTCGTACTGTAGGGAATCGCCATGGTCGCGAAATAAGGGAAAATTTTAAAATATTTTATAATGGTGCTGGAAAAGTACCATGGCAAGAAGAATATGCTTAATTTTACTATTCTGTATTAACTTACATCATCTGGAGGTGCAATAATATTCGTAGTGGAACTAGTGGATTGAGACTCATTAGGCGATAGTAGCGATTCATCTAAATTAGACTGGGATTGGTCTGGATCTGTAGATTTATCTAAAAATGTTAGCAGAGGAAACCAGTATACTGTTGGTTTGTACAGGTCGTCACTTCTCGCTCCGCTTTTTTTGCTACGCAGGACCTGCAAAAAATATTATGTACAATAATAATTAGTTGTATTTCCATAAGTATTTGTTTGATGTAAACAAAAAAGAATAAATAAAGATATTTATAATGACTTACCTTCATTTTTTCGGCCAAATATTGACTTCTTAAACCATTTAATTTCTTTTTAACATCTTCTACAGTGCAACCCTCACTGACAGTGTTTACAGTTTCAGCTATTGATCTATAGGCATCCAATCTTTTATTTCTGTTTTTATAATTAATATTTTTACTGTCGTATAACAATTCAAATGCCTCATATTCAGAAATTAATAATTTTGTAGCAGTAATTGACCAGACAAACTTGCCTTCCGCCATCTTTGCTAAATATTTTATAAAATTTACTCACTGTCGTCAATTTTTATAAAAGATATTTTATAAAAGAAATATTTTGTTAAAAGATGGTATATTACACCGTAAAATATTTCATAAAACTTGTTTTATAAAACTTCTTTGTCAAAGATCTTTTACAGTCTAATACCGGCCTTATACCGTATCCTTCGAATGTTGATAATAATATTGAATGATTGATACAGTCAAATGCCCTGCTCATGTCAATAAATACAGTCACAGGACATTCACCCATCTCAATATTTTCCAGGATGTTAATGTAATATTCATTCAGCGCTGTGATGGTTGATTTTCCTGATCTAAAACCATGCTGATGTGTGCTGATGATTTTACATTTGTTGATAAAATTGTTTAATCTGTCAAGAAATGCGTATTCGAATAATTTTGAGAGGGTTTCAGGGATTTTTACTGGTCTATAGTTTTCCATTGCATGGGGATCGCCTTTTTAGTTTTTGGGGTATTCACTTTGTGTGAAAGACATGTTAATTAAATATGTTAGTGGTATTGATATTAAATGAATAAACATTTTTTAACACAAATGGGGGAATTTCATAAAACCCTGCTTTAAATTAAATTCAGTAAATTCATTAATTCGTTTTCACTAAATGGAGATAGGAACATCGTATGTGTATTGGTATGTCGGCTGACTGCCGATGTGATGCTCCTCAATGATTTAGCAGATTTTGTATGATTAGCAAGTTTTCCTGCAGATTCAATGAAAAATTTGTTAAGATTTTTCTTCCCGTCCAGGTTTAGCGAGATATTATCATTTTTCTTTGATTTATTTGTTAATTCAGATACTACATTCCATAAGTTACGAGTTCTATTGACCGAATTAAAGATTTTTCCTTGGTAATAATCTTTTTTACAGTGGACATTAGGTTAAGGTGTTTACGTCTGACATTCAAATAATACGGCGATAGGCTGGGAAAGATAATTTTGAGGAGGTAAAGATTTTTCAAATTCATCCTAGATTTACCCATGATTTGTTTTTATTAAGTTTATGGCAACTATGTTTAGGACAATTTGTGTTGAAGTGATGTAAAAATGTGTCATAGAAGCAACAGAATGCGTTTTCAAAATTAGTTAATGTATACAGTTTTGACGAATCCTCAGCTATCAGATTATCTCGGAATTTGATAAAATTTGCCTCATTGAAGCATCTTCGAGTTATTGTTTTTTTTGGCATTAGGAGTCTGATTAGAGAAGATATCCAATTCCAAATAAATGCTTCTGTGGTCCGATATTTGGTTATCTAAGACAGTAAACAAACCTTTATTGTCAAATTAGCAACAATTTTTACTTTGGTTTCCTGATCTACATCGTCTTCAAACAAAGATCATCTATCAAATACCATAAATGTTAGCAGAGCTTTAGTAAAGCTGCTTTTGAAATGGTTTTCTCAATTCTTTCTTAAGCCTTTAAAACGCATAAATCCTGGTTAGGTTTCACGATGTTGTCATGTTGGACACTCAGATATCTAACAGAGCTGCCTTATCCTTATCAGAAAGTTTGAGCTGGAAACTTAGTAACGCTATTTGTAATAATTAGCTGGCTCTGGCCATCTATCGAGCTTGATGCATGGCGCCTGGCAGTCGAATCTTAATTTTTTTCTCTATATCTCCGCCAAGGAATATTACTGAAAGGTCTATTAATTCTCGATTCTCTAGCAACTTCTTTGGTCAGTTCATATCGATAATTTCAGGGCTTGTAGTCACTTGTTAGATCTTTGATTCAAACACGCCTTTTAACACCAATTTGTAGACGTGATTGCGGCAAGCAAAAATAAGCATTTCTGTTCGAGAAGCATGCAGGTACCGTTAATTGAATAAATTGAAGCAGTAGCACCACAACAGATAATCTGAACTTTATCTTCAAGATTCCAGTCAATAATAGCATCCCAAACTGCTTGAGCCTGCTCGCGGCCCGAAGAGGTATTCAGATGGGGCACAAGTTGCTTTTTATTTTCGTACATTATAACACTCTTTATTTTCATAGGTTATAACTATGGATAGATGTTCTTCTTTAGACTTGCATGTATTTAAAGGTGGCAACAATTTGCCATCCCGGTGGACAGTTACAGTATCCGGTACCTCGCATTGGAAATCAAGCTTAATAGATTCTGCGCGATCGTCTCGCTTTTCGGTACGAATTCTTTGAATCGAGGACTTGCTTATAGGAAACTCGTCAGTGTTATGTCCAAGTGCCTTACTCGTTGCTTCAATAATAACAACAGCATTTCTCATACTCGGATGACACCTTTCTAATGCTGCCACTAATTTTTGAAACTCTTCTCCATTTGAGTTTGATTAGTATCGGCTCACCGCTTTTGTTCTTCGGTGTTCCTAACACGCGCCTCTTCATTTATGGCTAATTTCTTGTGCACCCCAGATAAATGATCAGGTTGACCTGGCTCTCTCTGCCGCTGCAAGAAGATTCTATCTTCATTTATTATATATCAAACAGATTGTCCAAGTTCGTAACACACTCTTGTCGACGTTGTTCAAACACATGTGTTTTGCTTGCATTTTTTTGCAAATCTCTCCAAACTTGGTATAGGGTAGCTAATTTCTTAACACAGTTAAGTAGAGATTTAGTCGGTATATGTACCTTTTCCCAGTAAATAATGCACTCCGAATAGTAAGGTTGTCGCTCTCATTGACGCTTAATTTCATCGTCCATTAGAGGGAAGTTTTGAACCTGTAATTTTATTAAAAATATTCCCTTTTAGAACTGCAAGTTTTAACATGTTCCAACGCAACTTAACCTGGTTTGCCCTGGTTCTAGGTACATAAAACTTTATTTACAAATGTTTCGACATTGTTCAACCAAAATTAGAGGATATGCGTTTGAAAAAAAGAACTTACATTTTTTGGAACACCCTAATATATAGTATATACAGAACAAGATCATGCGGAGAAAGGTATACTATATAACAAAAAATAGGAAAACAATGGGCAAAATCCGCAAAAAGAAGGAAAGTGGATTCGAGCAGAAAGTAGGATAAGTAACCCGAGCAAACGTATTTCTGCTTGTTGGCATCATCAGGCCCGAAATGAATGCACATATGTAACCACAAAAGTGGCTACACATACTCACGCATTCGGACAAGGGTGTAAATTGAGGAACCGAAGATGGAGGGGAGAAAAAATGACACACGAAGTTCCCAACAAGAGCCAACCAAGTATAAAATGGCTAGAAGATGTCGAATTTTCAAGGCGACATCTAACCACAATGCGGATTTTGCCCATTATTTTTCTATTCTTTGTTATATACCTTTCTCGGCATGATAATTTTTTCTTTGTAGATCATTTGGGCTTGAAGTACCACAGCAAGTGGCTATAATCGGCCACGTGGTTGCGCCTTGAAAATTCGAGGTCTTCTAGCGATTTTATACTATAGTGTGAAGGTTGGCTCTTGTTGGGGACTTCGTGTGATTTTTTCCCCTCTCCATCTTCGTTTCCTCAGAATACACCCGTATCCGGTAGTATGGGCATGTGTGTCTACTTTTGTGGTTCTTTTTGCGGAGTTTGCCCATTATTTTTTCTATTTGTTATATACCTCTCTCCGCATGATTCTCTACTTTATATATAAATATATACCTGATAAAATTGAGCTAATCAAAGAGGATAGTTACGTTACAAATACTTCAGCACGTTGCTTAACCTGAATTGGATACAGCAGCTTTTGAGGTACATTCACAAAAAATCGATAGTTCAATATAAGACATGCGACCTCAGAAATGGCTTGGGCTACAATATTGAGGGGCCTGTGGCCTTTCTGCAAGTGGCGATGTCAATTTTACCACTTATTAATCCGCCACTGGAACAAACTATCCCGACTGTTATTGTGTACACCACTTTTTTTAATTGCTTCATCTCCCTTTCAGGATCCTTGTCAGAAAACGGAAGAGATACATTCAAATTTATCGTTTTTGGGTACAATTTCACACCAACTACCAATGAAATGGTTGCTTTGCCACATATGTCCTCAAACACGTTGGAAACATTGAATAACTCTCCTAGCTCAAGCAATTTAGAAAGAAGAAATGAGGACACGTATTATTTCACAGAGTATCCAGATACATCTAGTAGGTCTACAGATATGCATGTTGACTTTGCACATGATGCTCAGAATACTGGACAAGTTTTGAAATCTGAGCAACATATCAGAAATGGGGACATAATTAATACATCCGGATCTGCACAAAGTCACTTGGATAATGGAAATGAAATTACCATAGAACATTCTAGTCTGTACAATGATAACAAATATACAATTGCTTCTGACAAAACTGTATCTGACGACAAGGTTGTTTCAGCCTCTATAGTTATTGAGAAAAAGATGCCTTTTGAGTCTAGAAAAAAGTAAGTGGAAATTGGCAATTTTAAATTATAAGTATTATTTTTTTATTAATGTGTTCGTATCCAGGGTGCTCCAACTCGTGAAAATAATGATATTGAACCAAATGTGTTTTAGTAAAACGTTCCTAGTTGCTGAGATATAGAAGTTTATCCAAGATATTTTTTTCTCAGCTTATATATTTTTGGGTACAATTTCTACTTCACCTGAACATAACACTGCCAAATCACAAACATCAACTCTTGAGCAAATCAGAGCCTACAATGATATTGCCTTATCAGTTAGCGAGATTGACAGTCAGATAAACAAAAACGAACATATTCAGGCACACATATTAAATATAGGTCAACAGCCAGCATCAAACGACGAAATTGAGAAAAGCCTCGGTAATATCCTGACACTACCTTCAGACGATAGGGAGTATGATAATATATGCGAAGTGACAAACACTGATCCTGAAGCAATTGTATAACTTATTACTGAAAGTGACAAGGAAATCAACACGCGAAAAAGAATCAGTGAAACGTGTGACAAAATGGAAGTCTGTCCTGTTGCATCACAATTCAAGGATACATCATCAATACGTGAAGCAAGTAAGCCTACTGTGATACCAGAAGAAAATTTTCAAAAGAGGCAAAGCATCAGAAGTAGCGATAAATATGATTTTAAGAACAGCGATCGGATACCCACAAGTA